CCCGCGGGGCTACGGGGCAGCCACCCCGCCTCGGCCCCGCTCCAGCAGCCCCAAGCCCGGGGAGCGCAAGCCCTGGGGGACTCTGCAGAGCGTCCTCTCCTCCTTCCTGGAGCCCGCCTGGGTCCCGCGGGAGCACGAGGGGCTGGACGAGGACGCCTGGCCATGAGACACCCAGCTCGGTGGCCACGGGTGGCAGGCAGGATGGGGAGAAGCCCCCAGCCCCCCCCGGGGACATCATGGAGCTGCTGCTGGGGACGGCACCTGCATGGGCGATGGCCGGGAACCCTGGGCGGCCGGGGAGCTGAGACTCCGTCACTCAGTGACCGTTGGCTGTTGGGGTCAGGCCCTGCGAGGCACAAAGGGTCCCTGACACGCATTGGTGCCGTGGGGAGCAACTCCACAGGGGACAGCCATGGTGTGGCCACGGTGGTGGCGGCTGGAGCAGAGCGCCATGTCCCAGGTGCCTGAGGAACAGGGCTGGAGAGCAACTGGCTCTTCTGATCTTGGTCTCTTCTTTTTGCCTCTCCTCATTCTTCTTCTCTCCTTGTTTTCCTCAGCTTGCCTTCTCTTCTTGGCTACCTTCTCCTTGTCATCTTCTTGTCTTCTCCTCTTCTTGACTGCCTTCTCTTCAATTTCTTTTTCTCTTCCTCTTCTACCTCTTCTCTCCACATCTGAGATGAGTCAGGGACATGCAGCTTGTTGTCACGACCTGTATTTCAGGGCAGGGGGAAGGCACTTTTTCCTCTCCAACACCCATCAGCCCCTGGCCGGCCGCAGCACTGTCCATTGATGTCTGTAACATGGGACAGGGTTGTGCATGGAGCCCCCCTGCCCAGGCCACTGTGGCTCCCACCCCTTTGGCCCTGCATGTCCCCTCAAGCCAGTAAAGACCAAGAGAGCTGAACCCACTGTGTCCAGTCATCTGTCCTGGGGTGTAAGACCCTCCCCAGAGGTTTGGGACCTGCTGAGGGGGAGCCAGCGGTGAGGAGGAGGGATCTGAGATCCCACCAAGCACAAGGGAGGAGGTCTCAGGGGGGGCCAGTGTCAGTTCTGAACAGTGGCCAGTTCTGAACCCCACTGAAGCCATGGGGACCCCTTAGCTATGTTTGGGACCCCTCCAGGTCCCCAAAATCCTTGGGGCTACCTGGAGCCAAGAGCCCTCACCGGAGAGCTGCTGGCCCTGGGGTGCCATGGCCAAGCTCTGCTGCTGCCCAAGGTGGCTGAGGGCTGAGCAGGTTGGGGGTCACGCTGGGGTCTAGACTTGGTGGTGGCCATTCCATTGTGACTTCGGGGTTCCCAAAGTGGGGTGTCCACTGTGGTCCTCAGAAGTCTGCCCTGCACCTCCCCCAGCAGCAAGGCTGGTGTCCAGCTACTGCCGAGTGGTGCCAGTGCACCGTGGAGTGTCCTGGAGCAGTGCCAGTACCCAGCGGGGTGCTTGGTGGGATGTCCCGGAGCAGGACTCCGTGCTGGTGCTCATCCTTTCTCAACACCAGGGCCAGGACTGTCACCCCATGGGGACCAACTGCAGCCCCTGGGGACCCTGCACTCGTCCCTGGCCCCAGGAGGAACTGAGGGGCTGGTGCTGGGCACCACGCACTGGTATGGGGCTGCCATAGGCCTTGGCATAGCTGTCAGAGGCTCAGGCATCAGCCAGTAGCAGAGCACAGGGCCAACAGCTGCTGCTCAACTTCCCCCAAGATCATCGTGTCCCTGTGAGGCTCCCGGCCCCACTTCCCCTGGCTGCAGGCCCAGTGCCAGGCAAGTTGCTGCTTCAGGCCTTGCTGAGCTAAAGGCCATGGCCACCAACCCCCGACAGGGCTCATCTCCCTGTGAGAGCAGGGCACTGCCACAAGGAAGTCGCAGCATCCTGCCTCCCTCAGGCTCCCCAGGCCACAGCCCAGTCCCAGAACCTGGGGTACCCTTCCCCCCGCAACAGCAGCTCCAGGGGCAGATGTCACCTTTATTCAACGTTCGCTTAAAACAAGTGAACATACAATATATTTATATTTCATATATTAGATATTTCCTGCACTGAACGCTTCTAGTTAGGGGTGACCCATGGCTTTATTTCTGGGGGAAAGGAGTAGTGTCACCGTAGGAGAAGGTAGCACGTCCTCTCCAGCACCCATGGGTGACAGCGGGGAGCAGAGGGAGCCGTGGGGCTGGGGAGGGGATCAGCTGCCCCAGCCTGGGGGGCAGATGGGTGTGAGGGCAAAATGACGATGCTCAGAACCCTTCCAGCCCCAGTGCAGGGGCTGGATGGGGGCTGGAAAAGCCCTTTTTTTTTTTTTTTTTTTTTAAAAACCACCTCAAATTTGAGATCATTGAGCCCTTCTGGGACCTTTGGAGACCCTCTCCAAAGGGCTGGGGGCTCACCCACGGCTCTCCTGAACCAGAGGACAATACAGGGGAGAGGCAGGAGCCAGGGAAGGAAGAAGCCAAAGCTGTGTCCCACCTGCTCCCAGGTGCCCCAGGGCTCCTGGGGGAGCTGCAGCAAAAGCCACCCAAGCCCACAGCACTTTGGGCCCCAACCAGCACCAAAGAGGCTCAGAGTGATCCCGGGGGGTCAATTCCCAGAGCTGAGGAGTGCTGAACCCTTCACCAGACACCACCACAGGCAGACACGAGACCTAGCACCAGCAGGGGGGTGGATGCTTGCAGGGTGGGGGTCACACAGGGAGGGAGAAGAGCAGCCCCCAACATGTAGCGGCTAAAAAAAAAAAAAAAAAAAAAAAAAAAAAAAAAAAAAAAAAAAAAAAAAAAAAAAAAGCAGTCACAGGGACCCAGAGAGTGAAAGAGGGCTCTTGACAGGGCAACATCAGCAAGGACACCGCATCACTCACACACAGATTTCTAGAGGGATGCAGGAACTGGCCAGGGTGCCCCTGCCCTCCTCCGCTCGCCCCAGCCCCGCCGGACATGGGAGCACTGGCTCCGTTTTCAGGGCCCTGGGGCTGGAGGGAGATGCCCAGGGGCTGGTTCCTTGGCAGGATGGAAAGGAGACATGCACACGGGTCCTGCCCCACTTCCTCAGGCAGGAAAGGGCAGAGAGGAGGACAAAGGGGCTACGGCAGCACCTTAGTTCTTCAGGATGGTTTCGTAGGCTTGGTAGACGTACTGGGACACCTCTGGCGCACGGCATTTCAGGGACAACTGCAGGGAGAGAGGAGGAAAGGGGGTCACGGCATCTCACCCCATGTCGATGGGCCACCAGCCCCAAAGCACAGAGCCCTGCATGCTGCAGCATCCCCACCACAGGGCACGGGGCAGCCCCAGCTCCTTATTTCAGCTGGGTAAGATATTAAAAGTCACTGAGCCCCCAAACACCCTCCCCCAGGCTGCTGGTGCTCCCCCCACCCCAGCTGAGGAGCAGAGACATCCACATGCAGCGCAGGCAGGGAGGGCAGGCAGATGCACACACACTTCATCTCTTGGGGTTTGATTCACTGCCTGTAGCTCAAGGGTGAACAGTTCCCCCAAAAGCATCTTCCTCTCCTAGGCAGTACAAGCCCCCTTCGGTTATTTGCTCAACAATTTAATATTAAATGACTCTGAACTCAATTAGCTCCTCAGCCCACAGGGGTGCTGAGCTGGGAATCCTCCAGGATAAGGATTTGCAGCTATCCTCACCCCACGTGAACCCAGGAGGCTGGTGGGAACACCCTGACCTTCTGAAGGGTTCACCTCCAACAAAGCTCCACTCTCGGCGCCGGCCTTGTGCCAGCCTTGCTGGGAGGGAGAGGCAAGAGGCACCAAAAGACAGGCAAGGCTGGCAGGGCAGCCGTCAGGCAGGTAAAAGCATCAGGGGAAGAAATAACCAGGCAGCAACCAGAGACAGCCCAAAGCTGGGGTAAAAACCAGTCTGCTAACCTCCAAATCCTGCAACAGCGGGCAGGCCGGCAAGGGCAGGCAGGCAGCAGGTATGGAGATACAGAGAGGTGAGTCAGGGTGACACAGCTCATCCCAACCCAAAGAAAACAGGCTGTGAGGAAGGTGGGGAAGGGCACAGGCCAGGGAAAGCAGGACGAGGACAGACCTCTGCTCCAAGGCTGCTTGCACCTGCGGCCGGGCTGCCCGGCACACAGGCAGAGAGCCAGGGACGCCCCAAGAAGGGGATGGGGTTGGGGTTTTTATTTTAACAGAGTTGTGCGGGTGGGCTGGGACCTCCCTGATCCCTTTAGCTGCCACATGGTGCCTCCCCGGTGTTAGGAAGGCAGCCCAGCAGAGATAGGGTGTTGCTGCAGAGTCCAATTGGCCAGTACAGGCTGTCTCACCCTCCTTGTGCGAGAGGGACACCAGCACTGGCACAGGGGAGGGAGCTGGCACCAAGAGCAGCTGGGGGGGTCCCACCACCACCACAGACGTGCCACAGGACCATCCAGCCCAATCCAAGCTCCAAGGGGAGAGCAGGGAAGGCAGGGTGGGCAGCAGGGTGGGCAGCAGCCTTGGCTTGGAGCCACCACGGGGCCATTTTGGAGGCAGGGGAAGGGGCATACCGTGAAGCTGGGATTGCTGGGCTGGATCCTGAGCTCTGCCAGCACCCAGATGCCGTTGGTGAGCTTCAAGGACTGGTAGAGCATGTCTTGGCCCTCCACATTCCTCTTGGCGATGGTGAAGATGTTGCTGCCTTGGAGCTTGCTGCTAACGGCATCTGTGTGGGAGGAAAGCGCTGCTGCAGGGCCTGCTCAGGGCAGGGCACTGGGCTGACCACCAGCTCCTGACCCATCTCCTCCTCCTCCTCCTCTCCCCCTCTTTGTGATGCAGCACAAAACCCGCCGTCCCCACACAGTGAGGAGAAGGGCTCTATTCAACTCGTCTCCCAGGTCCTCCCCAGGGAGCCCAGAGCTCAATTCACAAGCAGAGCCGCCCTGCTTCACTCCACAAAGGTCAGCTCGCTGCTGCCAGCAGGACTGAAAGGACTTGGCTGTCCCCACCCGGGGTTTGCATGTCCCGCTTGGCACCAGATCTCCCAGAGAAGGAGTTGGGGGAGCCTGGAGGCGCCAAGGAGCCTGGCCCTGGCTCCTGCCCACAGCTGCCTGTGAGCACAGGACCACTGTCCTGCCCGTGGGTTGGCTGCTGCAAGGCTGGGCAGCCTCAGGGGTCACGATCCAGTTAAGTTTCTCTGCACTGAGACTGATCCCAGCGAGGGCACAGCAACTGTCCTGGCATCAGGGACATGCCTGCAGGGCAGAGTCTCTGAGGCTGCCAAGTTTCCACAACTAGCCAACAGCAAGTCCTGGAGATACAGGTTGGGCACAGGGGGAAGGAGCTCTCATGTCCCCACAGCCTGGGCTGGGCTAACTAGGATGAGCTGGTGACCAGCACCCAGGGCGAGCTAAGCCAGGTCCTTCTGAAGGGTTTAATCCCACCTGCGTTGAGAGAACAGTCTTTGATCTGGAACTGGGCCTCGTTCTCATTGGCAATGTCCTTCCAAGTGGCCAGGAACATCTGCCGCTCTGCAGAGCAACGAAACCACCACAGTGATGAAGCGACGAGATCAGCTGCCCCCAAAGGTGGTACAACACAGGGGCCACGCTGCCATGTCACGGGTGGCTGAAGGGATCTCACCCTGCAGCACTGCCACCCCCCCCCCCAACTTTGGGGAGGGTCAGCAAGCTACGCTGGCTTGGGGAAGAGGCTGCTCAGTGCCAGAGAAGGCAAAATAAACAGCAAGTGAAGCTCTCCCTGGCAGGGAGGAGTTAGAAGGTGGCTCAGGCCACCTCAGGCAGCCACAGCTTGGTCATGCTGGCATGGCAGTGTCCCCTCCTGCAACTGCCAGGGGCATCTAGCTCCTCAGGGTCCCTGCTCTGTCCCCAGGGGTGGCAACACTGCCGGGAGGATTTCAGGGGCCGGGATGGCACCTACAGACCGGTTAGCAGAAGTGCACCTTGCAGGAGGTACAGCCACCCACACCCCAACTCACCCATCTTTCCATCCTCCACAAAGAGGATGTGCAGCGGGTACAGGGTGCTGAAGTAGAAGACATCAATGTTGTTTTTCACTGCAACCTGGATGAAAGGACACGGGGACGTCAACACCTCCTCCAATCTCAGCAGGCGAGCAGTTCCCACAGTGAGCATCCCACCCCATCCCAGCAATCCCTCGAGCCAGGTATCACGCAGCAAGCATCAGAGGCAAGAGACTGGCTGCTGGCCTCTCCAGCTCCTTTCTCCACACGTCAGAGCACTCTCAGATGTCCCCAGGGCAGAGGAGAAAACAGAGGAAACTGCCGGGGCTGCACCCCCTCAGTCTTCTCTCCCAGCTCCCTCCTGGGAACCACAGCCCTGTCTCCAGCGTCTCCCCCCATGTGGGACACTGTGAGCAGATGCTCAGCCACGGCTCGGCTCTGCTGCTGTCAGCAAAGATGATCCTCCAGAGAGGGAGCAGTCTGCCCGGAGCTGGATGTCAGACTGGAGTCAGACTGAGCTCTGACAGCAAAGATGATGAGCTGAGACTTTCTTCTCGCCTGGTTCCTGCCTTCATACCTCCCTCCCGAGGGAGCACACTCGCCCTGGGGCAGCCCCTGCCCCATCCCCAGCTCCCCAGAAGGGGAGACCCCGGGGCGTTCCCCACCTGGAGGTTGTTCAGGGGGTCCATCTTCATGACAGAGCCAACGGTGTTCAGCGGAAGGGAGATCTCCACGGACTGGTTGGGGGCAAGAGGAGCGTGGACCTGGAGGGGAGCTGCTGGGGCCAGGCCAAAGCTGGGGGGACATCCAAAGAGGGCAGGGGGTCAAGGCAGAGGGCAGCAGATGATGGCAGAAGGCACTGCCCATGTGCTCCGGGCCAATCTCAGGACCCCCTCCCTCCCTCCACCCGGACCCCAGGAGCACCCCAGCTCATCTTGCTGCTTCTGCACACTCCAAGACCCCACCCTAGGGCAGTAACAGGTAGTCCCAGAGTTCCCCCCCCACTTCCTCCTAAACAGATTCACACCCATTTTTAGTGTTCCTCCACCATTCCCTTGTTGTGTCTCTTTGAGGGAAAAGGAAGCATCAGTTCACCAGGACAAACTACAGGACAGTGGTCAGACCACCAAGGAACAGCCTCTTCAGTCAACTTCTTAGAGGCTTTGGTTTGATGATCATCACCACCACAGCCATCAGAGAGAGAAGAGTCATCATGTGAGGCTGTTCGCAGCCCTTGCAGTCACGTCACAGCCCCTTCCTCTCACCCTTTGCATGCAACCACTCCCATGCTGAGCTTGGAGGTGTCAGGCAGCACCTTCACAGGTCGCTGCTGACACAGCCCAGGAGGGACCTCACCTGTTGCGGTTGAACTGGATGGCAAAGTCAGACATGACCTGCAGGGCTTTGTTCGTTAGCACAAGGTCCATGGAGATGGAGCCCACCTGCCGGCTGAAGGTGCCAGAAATCTCCAGCCCCTTGGCTTTCATGGCGGGGAGCCACACCTGGGATAAGGAGACAAGAAATCCTTAGTGAACCCTTCAGTACTCTCCAGCCTGGCAGAGCCCCATGCAAGGGTGTTTGTAAACCTGTAGCATTTCACAGCTACCAACACACAGTCAGCAGAGGCACAGTCATCCTCATTCCAGCCAGGGCTGTGGGATGCTGCTGCCAAGCCCTCCAAACCTTACCCCGCACCCCAGGAAACAGCACAGCCCCCGAACCAGAGACGGGACCTGGCAGATCCCTGCTCTGTCCTCTGCTCAGAGCTCCGTGCCACCCGGAGGAATTTGACCCCTGCCCCGCACCCCCATGCCCAGACAAGTGCTGTAACATCCTGTCCACCTGCAAACCACCACTTTTGCTTGGCTTGCTACCACGCCAGAAAAAAGGGGGGTTCATCTTCCACCTCCCCCCAGGAGGCTCTGCAGTGTGGAGCAGGCACGGGGGAGTCTCTGGCCCCCTTAATGCCGCAGCCCTGACCTTCACCAGCAGCTTGGCTGTCCCACTCACCGTTTTGGGTGCAACGTAGGATCCTGACAGGGTCCCCACCCCACCGGTGAGGTCGAAGAGGTCTCCCAGGCCGCTGCCAAGGGGTGCCCCCAGGGTCGTAGGCACCGTGGTGCTGGGCGCTGGTGCAAAGGTGTTGCTGCCACCCATCTGCAGGGGACAAGGGAGCGGGTTATGGAGGACACTACAGGGCGAGGGAGAGGAGGAAGAGGAGGATGCAGAGGGCGAGAGAGGGGTTCGGGCGCGAGGGCACACTCACGGCAGGGCTGCCTCCCACATCGCTTCGCAGCTGCAAGAAAAGAAAGGGGCATCACAGGGGCCAGCGTGCCGAGGGCACAGGGGTCCCACAAAACACTTCATCAAGGGCACTCTCTAAAAGCATCAGTGGGCTAGAGAAGGCCCAGAGTCGGTAGGGAGGGTCCAGCAGCCCCAGACCCCACATGCCAGGAGCTGTTTGGGGGCCTGGCTGTCCCCAGAGGGAAGTGAGGTGCCACTGGGGCACTGAACGGGAGGGCTTGGGCTGCATGGGGGGAGCAGGGGCAGCCAGGGGCGGGCATGGGTGCTGGGGCTACACATGGTCGAGAAAGCTAAGAAAAGGGCTGATCCATACCCCTTCCGACTCGTCCCCCATCTCCAAGCAGAAGCGGGCAAGATGGAGAGAAGAGCCAGCCACATGCAGAGAGAAGCCAGGAGAGAAGAGACAAAAAGAGAGAGAAAAGAAGGAGAGGAGGAAAGAGAGATTAGTCCTGCCACACTGCCAACACATCTATGGCTGCCCTGGAGCCAGGGGACAGAGCACAACCGAGTCTCTCATCCCTGCACTCCGCACCAGCCTGTTACCAATCCTGCGAGCCCACAGAGAGCCAGGGTACCTGGGGGCTCACAGACCAGGAGAGGCAGCAGGCGAAGAGCCAGCAACACTGCCTCCCCTTGGGGGTGTCTGCTGGATTGTATGAGCAGTGGAGAGAACTCCAAACTCCTTTCCTTTGGGGAACCAGGACCATCACCGGGGCAGGCATTCCCAGCCAGGCAGAGATTTTCATCCCTCCTCATCCTGCAGGCAAACCGCTTCTTGGTTTGCATTCCCAGGAGGACAAGCTGTCACCTCCGGATCTCCCGGCGAAGGAGACACCCATTAAAGCACCCTGTGGGCTGGGAGCAGGCAGGTCTTGGCCCAACCCTGCAGCAGCTTAGAGCACACCCCTGTTTCATGCAGGTGTGGGGTTCAGAGGGGGGCCCAGGAAGAGCTGTCACCCCTGGAGCACAGTACAGACAGTGGGAGCATCTACACAGACCTCAGGTACTGAGAGAAAAGCCACTCAAGAGCACTAAACCCCTGCCCCGCTCCAGCCATCTGGTGACAAGATAAATTAGGGTGCAGCGCCCCTCTGTTTTTACTAGCTGTAGAAGGAAAGGACTAGCCCAGACATCTCTGGACAGACAAATCCATCCTGTCCTCAGGAGCCAGCATCAAACCCAGCATGATGCCACCAGGGTGTCGGGTAAGGCGCACGAGGGGCTGTGACGTACCAGGCTGTCCAAGCCACCTCCGAGGAGGTCCACAGCGCCCATCTGCACAGAGGTGGCGAGGGGAGGCCCGCTCACCGGCGGGCCCAGGTCCAGGTTCAGCAGGTCACCCAGAAGGTCGCCCTGAGTGGGGATGACAGCCGGCTGCTCTGCCGCCTGCACGCCCGAGGGGGCTGTGTCGGGGCTCTCAGCACTCTCACTCCTAGAGGGAATGGCAAGAGAAAGACAGGAGAGGCTGAGGAGCTCTGGCTGAGCCAGCAGGTCCTGCTGGAGACACCAGTTCACCCAGCTGGGCTTTGCAGCAAGCCTTCAAGAGACACTCCATCCCAGCATGGCTCCCAATGCTTCAACACATTGAGATCACCTTCTGCTTAGGTCTGAGATCACTCCTCAGCCTTGCAAGGACAGTATTGAATCTGTACAGCCCTGCTCCTACAGCAAATCTCCCCTTTGGGAGGGGGAGGCCTCAGCTCAGCTCCAAGCCCAGCGGACACAGCCAGCTTTGCACGGTGCTGTGGGCAGCCCCACAGCCCCTGGGTTCATCATCCAACCTGCCCATCGCAGGGAACCAGTCACAGAAGTCGCTGCATGGAGCTGGGAATCACCCCGGAGATACTCACGAGCCCGTTCGTGGGGGCAAGCTCTTGTGCACCACCCCTCTGCTCCCCTCCACGAAGGCGCTGGGAGGTTTGTGATAGACGGAGGCCAGCGTCCCGATGTAGCAGATCAGCTCGTCCAGGAGTGTGGGCTCGATCAGGTCCGTCTCCTCGGAGATGAGGGGCTTCTCCGCCAGCACCACCTCCTTGGCGGCCACGGGGTCAGTGGAGAGCAGGCGCCAGTAGATGTAGCCACGGTCCCGCAGGTCAGGGTTGTCGGAGTCCTTCGGGAAGCACAGGGGTTAGTGCTGAAACCACTGGGCAGGGGAAGCTGCGGCTACTACAGAGCAACTCAGAGCATCTTGGCCCCATCTAAGCCTTGCTGTAGTATTAAAAGGTATTATGGGGATAAAAGTTAAAGCTATTTACACCACACCTCTGCTGCACAGAGGCTACACTGCTTTGCTACACCAGCCTTAGCAAGGAAAGAGCACATGTCCCCCGTGTGACGGGAGGCTGTATCCTCACTCCCCAGGACTTTTAACTATCAGCTTTTCCAGAATTAATCTCCAATTATCTGCCTCCTACCACGGGCACTGCATTACCAAGCCATTCCCGCTGCCTTGAGGGGGGTGGCGAAGCTCTTCCCTCGAACAGGAGCCGTTACCCACCTGCGTGGCCAAGCTCAGCACCTGCTGCACCAGCTCCTGTGTCTCGGTGGGCTTCTTCAGAAACAGCTTCACAATGGCCGTCAGCAGCTGCAGCTGGACCTGCAGGCACAGCAGCAGGGTTAGGGACAGGCAGATTACACCATTTTTGTGCAGCCAGGCCTGCAGCCCGTTTGAAGGTGATTAAAACACCCTCAGCCGAAAGCCACAGGCTGACAGAGGTTACTGGGAAAGATCTTGGGACCAGGTTACACAGTCCCAAAATGACAAAGACTAGAGCATCCTCTGACTTTTATGAGGATAAGCAGCAGCGATTCACCTCCGACAGTCCCTTTAGACCTGAGACAGGGCAGATGGGATCACAAGCTTTGTTATTTGCATTTATAGACTTAGTTTCACAGTGTATTGCACAGCACAGTTCTAAGAAGTTTCCACAGATGGAAACTCCCTATAATTCCACAGGAAACCCACTGGCCTCAGCCGCCCTGGCAGAAGGGGCAGGCACAGTTCCCTATGTTCATTTCAGACTCCATTTTGCAGCTCCAAAGGGCTGATCCTGTCCTGGCACGGAGGAATGACCAGGTGACCCCCTGGTCCCTCCCAACTATGAAGGGGGGAAGGGACTTGGGACACCACCATGGTGGCATTTCATGGGCCAGATTCTACATCCAAAGCTGCTGTGGGACAGCACTGCCCCAGGCACCTGCAAGAAAAATACCTTCACCATTCTGCTAGAGCAAATTGTTTTGATTAGCACAAGCTTTGTCACAGGGTCACCCCTCAACCAGCTGGTCCTGCTGGCTGCCAGACACCCCCATCACATGGGGGCTGCCCCCCGTCCCAACACACCTGGGTGCTCTCATCATGGAAGCCCTCCAGGAAGCTCTCCAGCAGCTCGTCGGCATTGTCGATCCGCTCGGCGTACTCTCCCACGATCCAGATCATGGCAGCCCGGGCCTCAGGCTCGTCCAGGGAGTCGAGGTTCTCACAAAGAGTGGCAATGACACTCTCGTACCTTCCCAAGGAGAGGACATGTGTTCATTGAAAGCAAGAAACCCAAGTCCTAGCTCTGCTCTAACTCTAAACCACATCCCATCACCCCCAGAAGAACCAGGACATCGCTGAGGGCATCAGCAAGAGCCCCTGCCACCTGCCTGGGGGTGTCCCCTCTCCCTACGACTGTGGCACAGTATGACACTGCCCACAATGATCCCTCCCCAGTCCCAGAGCACATTGCCCTATCCACCAGCCCCACTGCTGAATTAACTTTTCAGCCCCACTCATCTGCTCTCCCTCCTCTCTGCAGCAGCCCTGAGTTGCTGGCTATTTGTGCAGAGTTCCTGTTTGTTACTAATTCAGTTCATTAGCATTTATTACCACTATTAGTACACAACTTCCTGATCACGCAGTTGCCTATTCATCCTGGCTCAGCTGGAACACTTCCCTCTCCTCCTGCTGCCCTTGCTCCACCATCAGGAGCGCTGAATTAAGAGCCAGAGATGGTTTATGCTGCTGCAAAGAACATCAGAGTCTCTGGCAGCTCCTATTCATTTGGGTGTCTGGATCTGGGACAGCCACTGTGGGGCTGGGGATGTTCCCAGGGCTGGAGCCAGCTTTCCTGCCCCCAGCTACCCTTTTGGGGCAGCACTGATTGGCAAAAAAACAAAATACACTTTGAGCACAGGGAGGCTCCAGGTGGCTTCAGCACTGACCACCCCACCAGGAGGAAGCAGCAGCCCATGCCTGGGTCTTTGCAAGGCCCCCCCAAGCAGAGAGGGTCTCCTCTAGGACCAGGCGCATCCACCTAAGGCCCTGAGGCTCGTGGGCAGCTGCCACGCACTTGTTGGGGTACTTGCGGAAGATGTCCTTGATGACGACAATGGCCTCCTGCACCACGTAGTTGACTTTGGTCTGGATGAGGTCGAGCAGGGTGCTGACACAGCGCTCGGCTGATTGCTGTCGGAGGGACTCAGTCAGTCAAGCAGCGATCACAGTATCATTCAGGTTGGAAAAGACCCTTGGAACCATCAAGTCCAACCCTCAGCCCGACTCTACAAAGTTCTCCCCTCCCCCACATCCCCCAACAGCTCATCCAAACGGCCCTTAAACACCCCCAGGGATGGGGACTCTCCCCCTCCCTGGGCAGCCTGTTCCACTCTGACCACTCTTTCTATGAAACATTTTTTCCTCATGCCCAGTCTGACCCTCCCCTGTTGCAGTTTAAAGCCGTTCCCTCTTGTTCCGTCACTAATCACCTGTGAGAAGAGACCAGCACCAACCTCTCTGCAATGTCCTTTCAGGAGCTGCAGAGAGTGATGAGGTCTCCCCCCAGCCTTCTCTTCCTCAAACTAAACAGTCTGAGCTAATGCTCTTACATCCCCACCCCAAAGCCTCTGCTGCCCTGCCAACACTCCCCCTTTGCTGCCTTATCCCCTCCATACCTCCCTCAAACCCAACCTGGACCAGAACAGTGAACACACAAGCGTGGTCTCCCCTTCCCATCCAGGTCTGGTTCCTCCTCATCCCCCTTGCACGCTCACAGAGCCTCCTCTCCCTGCTCCCATGGGATGCATTTCACGCCATTGGGTGTAGGAGGGCAGCAGCAAGCCCAGACCTCAGCTTGCCAGGGCAGCAGCGTCTTGTACCTTGCCTTAGTTTGGATCTGCACAGCCACAGGGCTCAGCATTAATAGAGACGAAAAACCAGAGCTGATGCCATGGTAATAAATCCCTTGGGAGAGGCCAGCTTCACCGCGGAGGGGAAGGATCGATCTAATGGCAGAGCCAGGCCAGCTCAGCCCCCGGTGGGAGGAAAAGCCTGAGCCAGCCCCAGCACATCTCCTGCCTCTCATGGGTGCCCAGCTCGCTGGTGCCGAGCCGTTTGTCTCATGACTGAGGATGCTCTGCGGTAAACCCAATGCAGCATCAGCTGCCTCAAAGCTACACCACCTTGCCTGTGAGCCTGCCTGCACCCAGGCCACAGCAAGGTTTTGAATAATCCCCTTCTTCAAATTACTCCTGAGGGGAAGAAAAGCCTCCTGTCCCCTCAGTAAGAGATTAGCTCCCTCCCTGCCCCCAGTGCAGTCCCTGAACAAGTCACTTGGAACATCCACGGCATTAAGACATTGGGCACAGCTGCAGGCAGCTGGGTCTGCAACAGAGCATGCGTCTGAAAAAAGCCCCAGTGCAAAGGGTTAAGGGGATGAAATACCCTCCTTACCCACAGAACTTTCCCCATGGAACAACTGTGGCTCATCCCCAGGCCCGAGAAGGCTCTAGCTCGTCAGGACGATGCTAACTGCTGGGGTGAGATGATCTCCAGCTCATCCAACACGTGCTGGAGAGCGACGCCTTGCCTAACCACAGCTGCCAGTGGGACCTGAAGCAACCCAGCCCTCACCTCCACCTTAATGGCACAGCGGCCGATGGCCCGAACTGCCTTCCTTACAAAATCCACGTCCACCTCCGTGGCGTACTCCTTCAGCTCTGCCAGCACCTGCCAGAAGGGACAAGACAGTGAGAGCCCAGCTGCAAGAGAAGCCACCAGAAAAGCGGTGCAGTGACCCAGCAGCAGCAGACCAGGTGGTACAGCTGCTCCTCTCCACATCCTGCAAAGCTGTGTCTGGGATTTCTCAGGCAAATCCCCTCCTGGCGGGGCTGGAGCCCTCTGCACGTCTCCCTTGGTGCCCACCCAACAGAGTCTGGCAGACCCTGACCTGAGCAATGTTGGCCTGGGAAGCCAGACGGATCATGATGTCCAGCTTCTCCAGTTTGACATAGATGGGGTCGTTGTACTTCACAAAGAACACCTTCATCTCGTGCTTCAGGATCTCAGGCCTGGAGGACAATGAGAGACAGTGATTAAGGAAGACAAACACTGCTTTGCTTTGACCACAAACTGAAATCATGGTTTTCTCCAGAGCTTTCTGGACACCCAATACTCCTATTAGATGATTTCTCTAGTGGCAGAAGCAAGATCTGAGCTCTGCTCCCACACTCCAGGCTCTGACCCAGGCAGCAACCAGGAAACAAAGCAGTGCAGAGAGGGAGCTGTGCTCCCCAGAAAGCTGCATGCCAGTCAGGAAATAGATGGGGATTCATTTGCCTGACCCTGCAGCCAGCTAATTCCCAGAGACAGTGCTAATTCATTACTTCATTAGCCAGCTCCAAGCATGAATCATCACTCCCTGGCCAAGGCTGGTGAGGGCCTGAGGATACCAGAGACAAGCTGAGGAAACCTGATCTGGAGAGCAAGCAGCTCTGAGCCAGAAGGATGAGGCTCCTTGGCCACAAGCACAAGGTTTGGGGGTCCAAGATACTGTGATTATCCCCTAGGACTCTGTCCCTGAGCTCCCCTTTGCTGGCGCACAGGGGACAGAGCACAACCTTGCTGCAAACGAAGACCAGATGCGAGGCAACATGGGATGTTCGTCTTGCCAAGGTTGGAAGACCCCAGGGCTAGGCTGGACCTTTCTCACCAGATCATCCTCTAAGCTGGGAAAGAGATAGGCCAGGTCCAGCTCCAAGGAGCCAACCGACCTTCCACATTTCTGCTCCCAGGGACACTAATTGCTTTCCACTTCTCCCAGAAATTGTTGCTATTTTTAATGGACAACCATGGTGATAACTGGTAGGATGACAAATCATCTGATCGGGGCTGTCACTGCAGAACACAGCTCTCCAGCTGGCCAGTTCTGCTTGGGGCACACGTGTGGGGCCTTGGACACCTCCTGCCCACCAGTAATTTTAGATCAGCAAAGGGACAAAAGGACTCTCAGCACTTATTAACAGAGGACAACAGCATAAAATAAGCTGGTATCAGAAAAATTCCTCACTAGACATTTAATGACCAAACCAAAGTCCCAGCTTCTAGCATTTCCATCATTTATTCCCCCAAATAAATAATAAATTAAAATAAACCCCTCCTGGAGATCCCAGCTTAGATCCCTGCTCATTGCCTCACCTGACCCTCTGTGCTCAGCCCTTGAATTTTAAATAACAGAAGAAAAAAAACATACAAGGAGTTGTGTCAGCAAAGCCCTGACACTGCTGCAGTCAAAGGGTTTGACGCACTGGGAAGCAGCACCCCTAGAGAAGAAGGAAAGCCCAAGCCAGGCTGCCCCTCCTGCTGTGCCAGGGCACCCACCTTTTCTGCACAATGAGGTTGATGTTGCGGAGAGCCACATACTGCAGCTCAGGCTCTGCAGAGAGCAGAGTGACCAGCGGTGGGGCCAGCTTCTTTAGCAGCGTGCCATAATAATCCAGGTCCTTCGACAGCATCTCCATGAACTTCATCAGCACCTTCACCGCCGAGAGCACCACTGCTGAGTTGGCGTGGGACAGCCGGGGCGTCACCCGCTCGCAAATGCTGGAGGTGTTGTGGGAGTGAAGGGGAAAGAGAAGGGAAAGAAAACAATAACATCCCGTCTCCCTGCTTAAATATTACTGCCAGCACTGATGAAGAACAAGGCGCTGGCAGAGTTTGCAGCAGGACAGCTGAGCCGCACGCAAGACCTTCCCAAGATGCTGAACTGGCTCTTAAAGGCCCTGATGAAGGTTATTTCCCAACCTCTGCAAAACCCTATAGCAGTGACCCCCTTTCAGAGCTCCCTAGTGCCTGCCGTCCCTTGCTGTGCGGTAAGGCCACATTTTGAAGCAACTCGAGAAGCACAATCCCTGTGCCAACATAGGGACAGGGCTCACCACAGGACCACAGCAGTGTCCAGATGGCTGTGCCCACGGCACAGTGGACAGCAGATGCCCACTGTCCCACCTCCTGCAGCAGGATTCCATGGGTCAGGAGGATGAAGATGCCTCTTAGAGGAGAAAGGGCAGCCTCAGGCCCTTCAGTCCATACCTGCCTGGCCCCGTCCCTGTTCCAGCCCCTCTCTGGCCAGTCTGTGGTGCCTCAAAGGCAGCACTGCCCCAGCAGTCCCCAGAGTCTCCCTCACCTCTGGGCTTCCCGGTCATCCTTGGGCATGTAGTTTGCCAGGCAGTCCAGGATGAAGATCTGTCCCCACTCAGTGCACTCGTTCAGGGCCGTGAGCAGCTTGTTGATGGACTGGGGGTTGAGGTCCAGGAGGTTACTGCTTGGGTGAGACTCTGCTATTTCTGAGAGCGCCGCTACCGCATTGGCCACTACCTGCCAGAAGGGACAGGACATGTGTTTGGTGGCGTCAAATGTGGTTCAACAGTTTGGGGGAAAACTAGTGCAAGCTGCACCCTCAGTATTGGCATCCCAGCGACATCTGGGCACCAGCTTCTCCTCCCCACCAGCTGATCCTCAGGAGATGAGCAATCACCACCAGCACAGTACCACCACCCACACCACATCTTCCAACGGTTTGCACATGTTCAGCAGGAGTCAGCCTTGGCCCCGTGCCCAGTGCAGAGGAACCTGCTCTCTCTCTCCTTCCCCAGGCACCTCTGCAGAGCCCCAGCACTTTCTCTGGCAGCTCCTGGGCTCACTGCTGGGCCTGTGGCAAGAGCTGAAGAGCAGCAAAGGCTGGTGGAAGTGAAACGCTGGGGAAAGCAGGCTTTAAAGTTTCTCATGCCTGAGGAAACTGCTAGCCAAAGCCTAGCTGCCGCAAAAGCCACTGGCTATGTGGTATCAGAGCTAAGCATCAGCTCCCCTCTGCCACCATCCCCTGCTCTGAGCTGGCCAGGGCAGCCTCCTTCCCCACAGGGAACAGACTAATAATGCACTGGCAAGGAATCAGAGAAACCTTCCATCCAGGAAACAGAGTTACAAGGGCAAGGAACACAGCCTGAAGACCTCAGAAACAAGCTGTCCCCAGAAATGGTCTGTTAAGCACTAAAAAGAGTGAAGGGGAACATAGGAGGAATGGAGTCAGCGTGTGAAGATGGAGAGCATTTACTACCATTTGGATGAAGAGAAGATCGAGAAGGCAAAAAATAATCACCATGGGGTTGGAGTCTGAGATGAGGTCTTTAAGGGTGTCCAGGAAGCCCTGGTCCTCCACCAGCTGGGCATTGATGTCGTGGAGCTTTGCCACGCAGACGGCTGCAGTCTTGCGCACGTAAGGGTCCTCGTCTTTCAGGCACTTCCGCAGGGGCTCGCAGAGATACTCCGTTATCTTGTCCACACGGATGCAGCCCATGGTCCGCACAGCCAGAGCCCGGATCAGAGGGTTTGGGTCCTCACAGTCCTGCGAGGATGACAGGGGGAGGTTAGATAACCTGGGACACCACTCCTTGAATCACAGGCATCAGCTGTGGCTTTGGGACCTTTATTCTTGTTTGGGTCCCTGAAGTCTAGAGGTTTTAACACTCAGTTCTTAAGAACAAGACACCCACGAGAGAACTTTGATCTCTTGTTCTGCAATCTGACACCCACTGAGTTTTAACACCCTCAGTTCTCACTCCAAACACACCTCCAGGAATCCGATGTCTTCATCACTTACACCATGTACCTGAAGTCAGCTGCTACCCTGCAGAACAGCCCCCTGTCCTGAGAAACACATCTATCAGGTTTATTGCGTGGGTTTTTTTCTTCCTAAAAAGCCAAAACTCCCTTTAAGGCCCACCAAGCCTCTTCACAAAGTGATGTGGCAATGTGCTGGCTCCTAAGAAACATGCTCTTCAGTTCCCAACTCTAACTGGAAGATCACGAGGGCTTTCTCAGCTGCAGAGACTTCAGCACGTAAGCTCACATGACAGCAATTTGATCACAGGAGCTGCCCACAACCAAAGCTACACTGACAGAGCAAGTAGCACAGTACAGCTGCCAAAAAAATTTTTTTTCTTCTGCATTACTGGACAAATTTGCTTAGTTATGTAGACCTAGGGGAGCCCCTGCTCCTGAAGACAGAGGTTTTGGAAACCTGCCCACGTTCCCTTCTTTGGAGCAGGGTACAGAGTAGCTTAGCAGGTGGCCTTGCAGGAAAGTGGGGATGCACATGGAGGGTTGAAGGGACCCGCTGCAGTGCACAGCTCTCAGGCACGCAAGTCTCTCCTCTCACCTTCACAAAGGTGTTGACTGCCATGATGGCCATGTCCGGCTGGCTCTTGGCATAGTTCATCAGGTAGAGGTAGACCAGCTTCTTCAGCTCCAGGTTGTCTGTCTGCATGCAGTTCACCACGTCCGGGAAGAGAGCGCTGCAACACAAAGCATCTCTGTGAAGGCAGGATACAGCCAGGCTGCTGAGTCTGGGGAAGATGCTGCTGCCTCCGGGACCCCACACTTCCCCAGGCATGTGGCCATCCCCTTCCACAGCTCAACCCACTCCCGAAGCCACAAGACTCTCCCAGGATCTGAACCCACCCTGCAGATGTGTCTAAATCACCCATTCCCAGTGGGGTTTCCTTATGGATCTGTATTAAGAGCAGCCCAAAACAGCCCCTCACGGACTGAAGTTGAGCTCTCCCACATAGCTCTGCTGTATCCCAGCTCCAGTGCGTGCCCCCTGCCCTGGCAGAAGGTGCAACATCACCCAACCCTCACGGGATGATGCGAAAGCCTCCAGCACCTGTGAGAGCACGTGGGAGACGAGCTGTTTCCTCCATTGCCTCTGCATGATCCCTCCCACACAGCCCTACCAAAACCATCCTCTGCTTCTGTGGACGTTAAACCTGTCCTGCTGCAAACTGCTGAGCGCTCACCCCATGTCCTACATGACAAACATCACGTTAGAGATGTAAACACCCAGGACTGGGTGTAGGGAACAGCCCCTCTCCCCCCGGGTGAGCCCTGCAGCACAACGATGCTCTGCTAGGATGGAGCAGAGCTGCCAAGCTGCCTGCATGGAGCTGGGGCTTCTCCTTCCCAAATACCCTAAAGCCGCCCAATGCCAGAGATGCTTTTTCACCACAGATGATAAAACCAGACCAATCAGACTATTAAACCACCTTAGGAGAGGCAAACAAGATCAGAGGGCTAATGTGGGAGTTATCCCAACAGATACCCCTTGGCTCTTGCCACCACAAACCCAACCATAGCTTACAGGATCAAGCCCAGGGCCCTGAGCCCGGGGTACTGTGCTTTGCTACTTCTCTCACAGAGCTCCTGTTGCTGGCAGAGCGGCCACACACCTCAGCTGCTCTCACCCCAGGCTAAACCAGCCTCTCCTGGCACCTCCCAAGGAAGGGGGAACTTAATAAACAGCCTAAAATACAACCCCCCACACACCCCACTCCACCCCCCCCCCAAAAAAAGGCTGCCACAGCCGATATTTCCTTTTCAATTGATGTAGCTTTGACCAGCCTCAGGCACGTCCCTGCCATGTCCAGTGTCATCTTCTCCACGGTGGTCCCAAGACAGAGCGTTACCTGCTGCTGCCAGTGCTCTGAGAGCCAGGAACATGCCAGTTTACCAAACACACAGCCCAGACAACGGTTTTTCTCCATCAAAATTTTCTCAAATGCAACCGTGAAAAGCAAAACGCTGACGTTTGTAATGCCAAGGGTGTGCGGGGACAGGTCTGTGTGGGGAGGAGGGGACGCGGGGGCCATGTGCTGCTCAGGCAGATAAAAAGGGAAAACAGCCGCCCGACCTTTTGGACTGGAGTGGCGGCAAAAGGCTTATCAGCACTGACCCTCTGCCATAACGGTTCAGAGGAGGTTTCTGCTTGTTTTCAGGAACACTTGAAGGAAGTGGCAATAATCCCAACAAACTTATCTGGCAGCCAGACCAATCCTTTTAGCCAGATTACTGCCAAAGCCAGGCAAGCCCCCACCTGCCAGACGGTCATGCTTACATTAACATTTTTCCTCCCGTAGCAGGAGGTATAACTGCAGCCAGGAGCTCGCTCTGTCCTTCCCCTCTGAGACAAAAGCCCCTCAGAGGCAACAGGGGAAAATGGGAGCCCACAAGCCATCCAGGCACCCTCCTGGTGTGGTTTGTCCTGGGCACCCCCAGCACAGCTCCACTCACCTGACATCTTTGCCAACAGTCATGGATGCTATCACCTTCTTGACGGCCTCCTTCTTCTTCTCTTTCTTGTCACTGTTCAGTTCAGCTTTCAGCTCAAATATCTCCCCTGGAGGAAGGGGAAAAGAGGGAGCTCAGGGGTTAAGGGATGGGGCACCCACCCCTCCATTGGGTGTTGCTCCCAGGAGAGGGCGAGCAATGCTCCCAGCCGCTACATGATGGGGCTCCTTTGCCACCCTGGGTGTTCTGAGGTGCCAGGAGCTGGAAAGGGGGATTTAACTTCCCAAATGTCTCACTAAGGGCCAGGGCAGCTCTGAAGGCTCAGCTCTTACCCGTGGAAATGGAGATGAGTGTGCTAGTGCATCCTCATGGCTCCTCCAGCCCCAAAAGAGCCCCAGAGGGCTTTAAGGACCAGAGACACCACCCAAGTGACGAGCACCAGCACCACACACCCCAAGCACAGGACACAGGGCTTATTGGGTGGGTATTTTTGGCTGTGGGGCTGTTAGCACAGCACACATGAAGCTCCAGCCTCACACAGGGCTGTTGGGAGGCCCTCCCCTACCTGGGGAGCCCACCGCAGACACCCAGAGCAGCGAACACAGGCGGGTTTTGGGAACTGCTCAAGCCCACACAAGGGATGGAGGCTCCCAGATCCCACTCTGCATGTGGCAGCAATCCCCCAGCCTTGCTGGGGGTGACCAGTCGGCTCTGGGCCCAGCCCAAGGGCATTGCCTCCCACCCCGAGCTCTTTATTCACTCCTGAGCAAGCAGATTGAAGAGGAAGATGCCACATGGCTTTCCTCTACATTAATTCCTTGGAAAACTCCTGGAAAGTGCTTAAGTCAAACCCCCTCCAAGCGCTTTGGTCCCAGCCCAAGGGAGCTCAGGGAGGGACCATGTCCCACAGCCACTCCTGAGCTGCTAAAGCAGATAACGCTGCTGCCAACACCCTTGTCTGGGTTCAGGAGCTGGTGACGAGGTGCTCCGACCCCACAGCAGCCCAGGAGACACCCTGGCTGCATCGGAGTGAGGAGCGGGGCGTCAGCCACATGGGCTCAGGGTATTCCCACAAGAGCCAGCACCTCCATCAGCCTCCCACTGCAGGGACAGCTCTCCCTGTCTGGCTTAGAGGTGTGAGAAAAGCCTGATTATTTTGGGAAAAACTGTGCAACCCTCCGGCTTCCTCTCTTACCTTTCTTCGTGGTGGTGAAGTACTTCGAGTCCGTCATGGTGGTCTCCAGTTAGCAGCACGTCCCTGGGAGGAGAGGCAGACCAGAGAGCTTGAGAGTTGATAATTTCCTTGCTGGGGTCACTACAGAGAGCTCCAGGAAGGAAAATCCGAGGGAGGGAAAAAGCTCGGGATCTCATGGGAAGAGTCACAAGGCGATGAAGCACCCAGAGAAGCCCTTGGCTTCTGTGCTGCCAGAGGAGCCCGTTCCCCTGGGGAGGGAGAGTGCCTCGCAGCCACGCCGGCGCACCACGGGCTCTGCTGGTGAGTAGGGAATCAGCTGGTTTGCTAACAAGGATGTGGAGGAGGAGGAGGAGGAAAGCAGTCGCTGAACACGCCAGCGTTCACCCCTGCTCAGGCTCTAGCCCTGACTTGCTTCTCTTACCAGCAGCAGCAGCCACTTTGCACGCCCGATCCCATGCAGAGCTGGGCAGCCCTCATCCCCACCACACAGGCTCGGGAAACGTCCCCTGGGTTTGTGTCTCCTCACCCAAGAAACACTTTTCTAAGGAAAATTCACCCCCAGCCCTCCCTCACACCTACACAGGGAACAGCTCTAGGGTGGGAAGAGGAACTGAGCAAAACCTGAGGCTCAGGCCAACACTGGAGCAAAGGGACAGGGTAGCACAGATCTGCCGGCACCTGACCAAACACGCCAGCAAGATCAAAAGCAGCCTCTTCCAGAAACCATTCCTTCTCCAGCAGTGTTGCTTTAAATTCAGTGGGTTTCCACCCAGCACTTGGGGCTATATTATATAATTCAGGCAGTTTAGGGCAGATTTACAGCTTGGCAGGCTGAGGAAGCCCAATGCGCAGACAGCAGACAGACCTTCTTAAAGGTCAGTGGGGATTTGTCTTTTAAGGCTGTTTCACCCATCTTTCCTTCAAACAGCAAAGAAACCAGAGGAGTGTCCTTGAAACCCCGCAGTGGCCTTGTTGTTTTGGAGGGGCAGGAGCACGGAAAGCAAAGCCAAGTGAAAGAAAAAAAAAAAAAAAAAGAACTTGCAAACAGTTTTAAAATGTAAATGAGCATCTTGAAAGCCAAATGCAGCAATCCCCTGCGAGCACAACGAGATGTGGCCAGAGGAATTGTGTCCTCTGTTCCCTGTCCAAGCTGGATAGGGATCCCCAACAGGGATAAAAAGAAAATCTGGGGGCCAAGCCCGCTGGGCAAAGCACACAGCCAGAGCCAGCTAGGCAGGCAGTAAGACAGGAAGAGTTTCCATCAGTTCGGGGCTTGCTTGGGGTATTGGCAGCGCAGTCCTGATGCTGCTACCGAGGGGGCAAGTCTGCCACTGTGCTAGCCCAGCGCAGGCAAGGCTGTCCTGTGAGCAAACCGCTTCCCAGGCAGCCTCATGCAAGACAACACTCCTCCCTGCTTCAGTTACCTGGGGTTTATTCAGAGCCTTTATTCCCTGTCTAGGTCGATGGCTCTCCAGCGAACAGCGGGAGCTCCCAGGCAGCGCCGCAGCACTTCTCTGTGCCTGACTGCAGATCCTGTCCTGCAAGAGAGGGAGGAAGGAGGATTTACTGCAGTCCTTCCAATTTCACCAGCCTGGCTCGCAGTCAGCCCTGCTCTGCAGAAAGTGCCTGGAAAGCAAACTTGAAGCCTACCAGGGAATTTCTGCAGCCGGCTCAGAGACATGAATCACGCCGGCTGCTTTCCTGCAGCTTCCCAGTTCCCCAGAGCCCGCAGGTACTGCACCATGTCTTTTAGCCATCCAAACCCTACTGATTTCAGAGACAGAGATGACCACCCATCTCCCCCACTCCTTTAAGCCCTGCAGTGCTGACAGCAGCCTCCAAAAAGCAAACTGCTGCCTCCTCCTCCAGCCTGAGCTCAAGAATGAAGGCACACCCCTCACTCCCCACACCAACACCTCAACCTCCCCAGCAGCAAGACCAGACTTGACACGACCCAGCACCTCAAGCAGGGTGACGAGAGGCTGAGCAAAGTCCAAACACCCACCAAAGCTGGGTGCTCATCACCCTGCATCGTGTGTGTCTCCCCAGGCTAACCAAGGGCAAGGAGGCAGGGCTGCCTGCCAGCCCAGGGACGCAACCGTTGCTGGCACAGCCCTGCTGAAGGTGAATTCCCCTGAGCTCAGCCCTTGGGCAGGGTCCAATACTGCTGCCTGGCTCCAGTTTTAAGGAGGGCAAAGGAAACGGTTCAGGAACTGCAGAGCAGCTCTTGCATTGCCCCATCTTCTTCCACACATGTTTTTGTCCACCTTGAACTGGACAAATGGACAGATGGGGCAGGGTCCCCCCTCCTGGCCTAGAGCCTGACAGTAAATAAGCCAGATTTCTGGCACACAGGAGCAGGGCAGGTGTCAGATCCGGAACCAAAAGCCTCGATCATCTCATCTGGACAGAACTGATCATTTATAGTCATTACAGCAAGTTGCAAATACTCTGCCCTTGTTAAACACCCTGTACCCCATGAGCAAAACCAGGCAGTGGGAGCTCATCTGCAGGCCACAACCAGGCAGAGCTGGGAGCTGAGCACAGGCGTTTGCTCCCCTGGCTCCAGCAATTCCCACCAAGCTCCCTTCCAGGCTGGGAAAAATGTCCCAGCACTCGCTGATTTCCCAGAGAGGGGCTGAGTGGAGCAGCAGGTCCTGACACCTGGAAGCAGCACCAGCAATCAGATAAAGCGGGCTGCAAGATTTGCAGCAACAAAACAAGGAAGCCAAAAAGTCCCTGACTTTGTGGCAGCTCAAATTTGACCCTATCTTCTTCCAGACTTATTTTAATCCCATCTTGAAAACTGGACTCAAGGAGTTGAAAGCGTTTGTAAGGATCTGGTAGCAAAACAGTGGCTGGGTGTTGGAGGGGAGCACCCAGAGCTCACCCACGGGTCTGTTTTGAGGATAAGGCTTTGGAGCGGCACAAGCCCACCACCCTCCCTGGGACCCTGGACCCACCATCCCAGGGCACGAGGGCTCCCGCACCACTCGAGCCTTGCCCTGCTACAAAGCCCTCTGCTCTCAGGTGGTCCCCGCAGCCAACGGCTGGTGGGAGGCGTCCTCTCCAAAGCTCCTACGTAATGATGAAACCAGAACACGTGCCATCAGCAATCCCTTCTGGATCTCCCACCTTGCAGGCTCTGCCAGCCAGGCTCAGTGGAGATGGAGTTGTGGGGAGCTCACACCACTCAGGTCCCTGTTCCAGCTTCTGGGAGGAAAGGGGCTCTCCAAAGCATTTTATCCCAATCTTATTCAACCAGAATGACTAAATTCAAGAGCTTCAGAAGACCCAGAGCAACACTGCTCTCCTGAGACCCCCAGCATGACTGGCTACATCACTCTATCTCCATGTTCCACCTCCACCTGCCTCAGGGTGGAAAACGTCCACATTCACGTGACACGCAGCAGAAGGGTCCTGCTAGGCGCTGCTACAGACACCTTCCTTGGACACAGCTTTAACCAGGTTATTTTGCTCCTGCGATGAAGCACCAAGGAGCCTGTGGCCCAGTTGGCAGAAGCACCAGTTTGGAGCATCTGATTTTCTGCTGCTCACAAAGTGCTGAGAGGCTGAAGGAGAACGCGGCGCTCTGGCAGCTGAGCACAGAACACCGTGCTCCTCCCGGGACCCCCATTTTGGAGCCACCGGGTGATGCACCCGTACAGGCACAGCATGGTGCAAGCCCCCTCCTTGATCCCTTGGGTTGGGTGCAAACCCCCTCCTCGATCTCTTCCCAGCCCTTGGGTTGGGAACGCAGCAGAGCTCAGCCATCCCCTGTCTCCCTGCTGCCATGCCAGCGGGTTCCCAAATTCAGCTGTCCTCGGTGAATAAGATGCTCCTAAATCCGTCACAATGTCACAATGCTTCTCACCAAGGCAGGTGCCACCAGTGGGTTCCCAGGGACTACACCAATGCTGAATAAGCACTGGTGCCACTTGATTCCTCTTATAGAGACTGGAAGAAGAAAACTTGTTAGCAACCCCCAGCTGCTTTTACTGCCTTGTTTTAGGCCAATTTCTCTACCCTTGAAGGGTGAGATGCTGCTGATGGGAGTCTTTCAGCTTCTAGCAATAGAGATCTGCTGTCTGGAAAGGGATGTGGGGAAAGTGCTGCTGTTACTGCTCTTCCAGACGAATGAGCCACCTAAGCACCACATGAGCATTTAAACCGTGCCCAGGACACTTCACAGCCCTGAGTATTATAGCTCACAGTAGCTCTGCTGATCTTTCTACAGATTCTGAGACAGCCCAGAGCAGGAGATTACTGGCTGACAGTAAGTTCCAATCTACCCAGTCTGATGTGTGTCTTCAGGAGGGTCTGACAAGGCAGGTGGGAATGAAGGAAGCAAACACAGGGAGATGCAACTGCTCCAGCCCTACACAAACACATGCCCTGTGCACATCAGGGGGTGCACACTGGCACCTAAAGTGGAGGGAGAGGCAAAGAGGAGCAGGAACTCAAAGGGCAAGCTTCTAGGAAACAGCTCACCTAGAAAACGGAGGGTCAGCTAAAGGTTAGTAGGGAAAGAAAACTCCTATGAGTAAGCAGCGCACCCTCTCACAGCTGCAAATAAAACACTTAAGGTGGATCAGTAAAACCCAGCAAGTTGGCATAATTAAAGAAAATTAAGGCAGACTAAAAAAGCCCTAAACATTGAGATGGGTAACTGAAGCTGTGGAGACTTCACTATTCTCTGTTGCTATGAAGCAAATTCAAGGCAATGCAAAAGGCCGGGCAGGCATGAGGTGGTGACAGCTCCCCACACCTCTGAGCAGCTGCACATCCCCAGCCTCGGCAAATAAACCCCCCAGACCAGGCACAGACACCTGTGGGGGAAGATAAAATCCCAAGCATTGAAGAGAACAAGCAGCCGAGGACACAAGAGACAGCAGCTAAAGAGCCTCGTGCTGAACCAAATTTTTTTTTTTATTCATCATTCACAACAGTAAAATTACGTGGTGTATCCCGTCCTGCAGACAGTGTGCAGCCACAGGCACAGCTCCCATGCCCGTGCTCAACCCTACCTCTGCCCCACAGTTCTCCCCACAGCTGGCACAATGCCACAAGAGCTCACACCAGCCCCATACATGCTCCCTAGGAAGATTATTTTTCCTAAGGACTGGCCTAACTTAATCCAGTATTAGCTCACACTCAGCCCTGCAGCCAGGCAGGACTGTGAGCCTGCTGTTGCATCCTGTGCTCAGTTAAAACCTTCACATGTCCCTGAAGGGATCAGGACTGTTCCCTCCACCAGCCAGGCTGTGCCCAGCCATGAAACAACCCACCTGCACTGCCACAGCACGGAACCGGCACCGTGCCACCAAACCTCGAGGGCTGGCAAGACGCTGCAGCTCCCACCAAAAGTGTAAATATATCCCCCTCAAAAGAACTGCCCAAAGCCAGCAAGTGCCACAAATTCTCCTGCACCTTCTGGAATAAGAGTCACCAGTTAACAGCAGCAACAAGCACAGACAATGCTCTGTGAACCCAGCAGGCCAGCAGCCAGCACATCCTCTTCACAAACCTGTTGCTGACCAACCCATGTGCTTTCCAAGAGAGTCTGTCTCCCATCAACCAATGGGTTAAGGTTTAATAACTCATGGGTAAAAGCCTTGGCAAGCTCAATGTGGTGTTAGCAAGGTGCCCAAAATCATGGCACATCAATTCAATTGCTGAGCTGCCACTTGAGTGATCCGAAACTCCAAAGTGGCAACATCTGGCCCTTAATTAACCCAGATGGCAGAAGGGCCACAAGAGTGGCTGTATGCAGTAAAAATGAGTCGTAAGTCATACATCCTATCATAACTGGGGAATAAAACCCCCAAACACACAAAGGAAAATCCCAAGGTGTCCCCCACACTACACATTGCCGGGCAAAGCAGGACGCAGGGATCCCAACACTGCAGGGCCTAAAGCATTGTGCCCTGGAGAGCCAGAGCAATTTTAAGCAGCACAAGCCCTATTCCTGCGGTGCCCACCCCCAAAACGCCAGCCCACGCCAGCTGAGCACCCTTAGAGATGCTGAGGACCTTGTTCTGGAGGTGTCAAGACACAGCACCAGCCCCATCAACCGACTGCAGATCCCAGGAGAACTGGATCCACGGGGCTGCAAGGCCAGATACCTCCTGCCACAGAGATCCCAGCCAGGCTTAACTCAAGTAAGGACCAACACCTCCAGAAAGCCCCTCAGGATCCCAAAGTGTTAAGTCCCTTCAGTCTGGCAGCCTGGGCCACACGGGAAGCAGCTCACAGCTCCCACAGCCAGGCCTGGGGGGCAGCAAACCAGATGGTAACAGCTGCTTATCTGAGGCACCCACTTAACACGGCATGGCCCAAGGCAGAGCGACGGCAAAACCCTGTGCGAGTCCCCGCTGCCACTCAGGGATGGCATCCCTGACAAGTTTTAGAACTCTGGCAAACTCTGTATGATACCAAGCACCTGGAAAGAAGAAAGAGAGCACCTATAATCTATCTCCTTTCGGCACAAGCTGTTTCACAATCTCCCTTTTATCAAATTTGGGGCTTTTTCCCCTAAAAGCCTTCACAGAGGAGGCAGCCAGCACAGGACATCGGACCGGGCACCTCCCCGTCTGACCCATGCCCCCTTCCCATTTTATTTCGTGTCTCAGCAGAGCCCGGTACCGGCTGCTTCCCACAGATCCACACGGTGCCTTGTGCTCCAGCCGCGGTGCTGCCTCCACGGAGGCCGTGCCCGCGGTCCTGAGAAGCGAGTCCCCAAAGCCGCCGCTGCCAGGGAAACCCACGTTCCCACCGGCGAGGACACGGCCCCCGGGGTGCAGCGGCGGGGGCACGGCTGGCGGAGGGGCGCAGATCCCGGGGCTGACCCCGCGCACCCAC